GTGGTTAATTTGTTTATCTTATGGTCTGTAATCTATACTGTGCTTCAATTCTATATCTTCAGTATCAATATATAGACAGTCAAAATCCATAATTTGCTAAGAATCTGAAAATTTGTTCTTTTAGGTCATTATTGTTCGATTGAGTGCCAAGCTTCCAGTGTATTTGATTAACATGATTTTGATATATATATATGTGTAAATATGGTAGGATTGAGAAACTAATTAATCACGTGAATCAAAAGATGCCTGTTTATATACATTTAGACTAACATAAACAGCCATATTTCAAATGAGCAATACAGGCAATAAGGATGCCATTAGCAAATCTTAGCACAGAAGAAAATATGTTCACTGAATTACTTAAAATTCTAGAAGTAGACAATCAGAGATTGGTTAGAAACAAGTCCAAGATCACAACTAACTACCTAAGTAGTTTAACATATGTCTAATTAGAATTAGCAAGAATTCTGCATTACTGAACACTGCTCTAATCATTACTGAGATATCAAAAGAATGGAATGAAAATGAGGTCAAATGTTTAGAGATTATAATTAAATTAATATTTATTAAATAATTTAGAAAATTCTGAAAGAAAAAATCAACCTAGAGCAGAAATCAAATTCCAACTGCAGATGCAGATTTGAGTCCGACTGAAGTTCAATTCTTTTTTTCCAGAATTTAGCAGTAATGTAGCCTGATTTAATCCAGTAATCATTTGGCTTTAATATAATCATCAGGCTTTGATACAGTATGTTTAAATCTTTAATAACTGAATACAGAATACCAATAAGAACAGAAAAACACAACTGGACATTATAGGTGCATCACAGCTACATCACTGTGATGGTCGTGCATGAGACCTATCTGTAACAATAGCAACAGTCATTGTGTAAATTTAAGTGATATGCCAAGATATAAACTACAGGCATAACGGATGTTGTTATACTTTCTGTAAATTTGATTTATTTAGACGAATGTTATTAAAAAAAAAAAACTCATCGAAATCTGTCGGTCTGTTCATTCTATGATCCATTATGTATGCTGTCCGTATAAATGTAATTGTCGCATATCAAACTTTTAATGTATGTTTTTTGAATGTGTTATATCTATATTGTGCATAGTTTCTTGTGCATTGTCAAATTATAATTCGCGTGTTTATACGTACATTCTTCACATGTTTGATTTTATTGTTTAGTTGGCTGAGGAGGGCCTGGAGCCCAAAATGCGCCTTGTAATTAGCGTCACAACCTAATAAAAGATGAATAATCTGCCAAGTGTTTAAAAAGTGTCACTACATTGTGTCTATGAAAAGTAAAAGTAAATAAAAAACACGGTTTCATTGGAATAAAAAAAAATCTTATATATGTTAGCTTATTCAGCTACAATGTTAAAAATAAACTAACCTAGATTTCATTCAGAAAGTAGTTCATAATGGATTTTAAATATATTATTTTAATAAAAAATTAATTATTCAAATTTAATTTCATTAATTGTGATAAATTATTTTGAAGAATTTGAAAAAACCTTCTAGAGTTATAAAATTTATAACTATTTCATAGCAATAATTAATAGAGTTACTTATTCAAAACAATATATTTATACTAACTAGGACACGATGTGAAGTGCCAACGTGTTGAAGGACACAAAGTATTATTTAGAACATATGATGAACCATTAAATGTCATTGGACCTAAATCAGAACCATCGTAACACTGCCCTAATCCTGTTCCACTTCCATTATCACACCAACCACATCTTGGATTTTTCTGACAATCATCACATGTCTGAATATATTTACATAATAATCCTGTAAATACAAAATACATTTAAAAATATAATTTAACAGTAATAAACACTAGTAATAATTATTTAAAAAATTCCAACCCAAGTGGTTAACATACTTGGAATTTAATAAATTGGAATTTATTAAATTCCAAGTATGTTAACCACTTGAATATAATACATGTAATTTAAAAAGATCAAATAATTTCTAACAAATACTCAAATTGTCAGTACAGGATATATTCACTGAACTTGGCAAATCAGACAAATGAGAGTTTTGTTTGGAAATTACAGGTTAAGCATTAAATTTATGGCACCAGATAGTTCTGGTACCATAAATTGGCATCAGAATCTGGTATAATTTGGATAGAATAACAATAGAGAATTTCACAATTTCCGTAACTACCAGGCTCGTTTGCCAAATGGCCATAAATGAAATTTATGAAGTACAGTAGAGCATCGTTTATCTGAAAACCAATCAACCAAAATGTTGGTTAACCAAAAGCATTCCAGCCAGACTGTGTTGTGCTGAATTGAACGTTTTTGATACTAACTTCCAAAATATAATTTTTTTATTTTTTTATTTTTGAATATATTTATTTTGTTTGTGTGAAATAAAGAAATAATTTTTAACGATACAATAGTCACAATTATTATTTTAAAAAATTTACGTTAGGCTTAATATCGATGAAAATTCAACACGAAGCAATATGCAATGGAGAAAAATTTCAACATGGGAATATATTTTTTTGTACATAATCAGTTATCCGAACAACCCAGTCCTCACTTGATTCAGATAAACGACACTCTACTGTATGTAATCCTGTACATTACAGCAGTTGGTGATCCTTATTTTCTGTACAATTTTTAACTAATTTCATTTATGTTTAACTTAACTATAACTTCTAAGACATACAATTATTAATGGCATCAAAAATAAACACAAATCCTCCTCTAACATATTCTTAATTTAATTATCTAGATCATAATGCTTTAGAGACATGAGTCATTTATATTTAGTAATCCAGGGTGTAGTATTGCTATTATAAGATCTCAATTAGTCCAATGAAATTATTAATATGACATCACAAACAAGCCTACCAGAAAACTGGTGGTTAATTTGTTTATCTTATGGTCTGTAATCTATACTGTGCTTCAATTCTATATCTTCAGTATCAATATATAGACAGTCAAAATCCATAATTTGCTAAGAATTATCACATCCACAGATGCCATAATCTCCAATCCAACAACAACTTTATTTTACCTAGATGCATTTTGGAAATTACAATATTGGGTTTTCTTCTGTACAAGCAAAACAAGCCAAAAACAATTTTTACACTAATAAATACATAAAAAGAATTACAATGAATATACAATAATGCCTATTAAAAGCTGTTAAACATTTTATCTTCCAATTTCAATCTAACAACCATTTAACTACTTTCATACAACAACCGTTTTCATCTATTTTTAAAAACTAAGCTTTTTTTTGACTGTTTACATATTGATTTTTATCTTAGTTTAAATTACACTTGACAGGTTAAAATTTTATTTAGAAAGAGCTAATTTTGAACTAATAAAAAAGAATAGCTGGAAAAGTTTTCCCATCTACAAACAAAATTTGTATGTTTAATAAACATATGGTAAAATTCTTTAAGCATGGATATCATTATCATCATCAGTGAAGAATGGTTGTTTAATTTAGCATCACTTTTACCAATTCTTCTTGCCGATAACAAATAACAGCAATAATTGTTAAATTAGTATAATAAAATATATATAAATTGAACACATACCAGGACATTTCCATTTTGTCGTCGTCCATTCCATACACTGTGCAATGGCAAATACAGCTGCATACGCATTTGATTCAATGCACAAACGTTGGTTGCTGCACCACATGCAAGGACCTTTTGTACAGTTTTCACAAGTTGTTCTGCTACTACAAGGTAATTCGCATTTAACTCTATAATCATCTGACAATATTGCTTTTTCAGTGCCATTACCTGTAAATTCACATTTGCATTTGAACGTATATTTTTAGTAATAATTAAAACAAGAAAAATAATTTGTACAGTTTAAACGATTTATAGTAAAACTTATATTAATTAATGAATTTGACAAAAAAAAATAAAAGTGGTTAGGCATATAAAATTACCAAAGTTAATACAGATTTTAATTACCATATTTATTAGTGTTGTAACGAATAGTATATTCGGCCTCAGGCCGAATACTGAATATTCAGCCAGGAGCGTGGCCGAATAGCCGAATATTCGGCCAAACTATTCGGCTTGATTAACGCACTACGAAAATTGGCGCGCAAACCGCATTTTCGCAAGGATCCTGCTCTCTATTGGCCCGCTGTCACTACGCTTCGCCAATCACATTAATTCTTGGCAGTTGTAGCGGACAGACAAGAGTGTCATGGAAGTATGTGATAAATGATGATATCAAATGTGGATAACAATGAAATGACCTACACGTGTAAATAACGGAAAAAGAACAGAGAAAGACCGCGAAGTAAAAATATGAAAATAAATATGAAATTGAGTCGATAACATAATCGAACAAGTCGAGGCAGCTTATTGGCACGAAATTCGCGGTCGTCAATGCCAAACAATTGTTGTCATAGTCTTCGGAAAGCTAAATGCTTGTAATGTAAGTCACTTAGCGTGCACGGGCGAAAGCCTGGGGCCGTTCGGGCTATCAAGCTGTCTCGAATCTGTGAAATCATAACTGTGACTTATATCGACGTCCTATCTGTCTCTTTTTTCCGTTATCACCAGGCTGAAGTCACGTAATTGTAAAATGGGAACTCTAGGACGGAAAAGTGACGAATCGAAAGTATCGTGAGCGCGTATTATGATGTATGCACAGGCATACATGGATTAGAGCGATAGAGGAAAGAGAAAGGGAAGAGCAAAGACGAGCGCTTAAAAAGAAGGATAGGCAGGGTCAGACCCTCAGATGTGCGAGGATTCTCCAACGATAGACGTGTACGTGTGCTGATCTTTGTAATTATAAATTGTGAATACATGTGACTAATATTATTTTCTTTTTTATTTTGTGCATGTTACAAGTTATAAATAAATATAAACAAACAACACTAACTCTTTAACATTAACTCTAAATACCAAAATGATTAATTTACTGTGTTTTTGTTATTTATTACTCCTGTTTTTAGGTATTCAGTATTCGGCTGAATAGTGATTAAATATTCGGTATTCGGCCGAATAGTGAAAAATAGGCCAAATACCGAATAGTAACCGAATATTCGTTACATCACTAATATTTATACTTTTCTGATTGTTATATATAACAGAGAGACAAATATAGAAATTGGTCAAAAAAATGACTCCCCCAAAATTTTTACACTTTTAGACCTTAAGACACCTTGCAACATGAAGAAATGCAAAAAAATTTGGGGGTTGGAGGTTGTTAGATAAAAATCAAATTTAAATGTTTTTGGAAGAGAAAATCAAATCTGAGCAGGAATTGTTTATTTCTACTCCAGCCAAAATAGTGTAGCCCAAAAGATCAAGAAATTAGTCAATTGATTATTAAATTTCAGATGTAATGGTTTAAAACATTATTCAAACAGACTGACTTCTTATCATGTTTACTGTAAATTAATTAGTTTCTATTTTATATAAAATAAAAACAATTATTGTATGATGGTGAGTAAATTTTGTCATTCCTTTTATCAAATTCTACATTTGAAAACAAATTACTGCATATCAACATTTGATACAGTGATTGAGATAATCAATATAATTTACATTTAATTCTATTCTAACTCAGTATTCAAAACTTTTGCTTTTAATTTTTCTCTTCAATTCATTATTTTATATTCAATATTCTATATTTTATTTTATTTTTTAAATCTATAATTATGTAAATATGATCAAATTTTCTTAATTAGACTAGAACAAGTGGAAAATCCAAAAAAGTTTGAATTATCCATTTTTGAGAATTAAGACAGTTTTCTGCAAATTTCTACTGTTCATCACTATTGCACATTTATTGATGATATCACTTTTCCTCTTTAAAGCGGTAGAAAGAAAGTAGTGTTTTAAAATCTCAATTTGAAGATGATTTAGTGTACATTTTCAATTAGATATAATAAGAATATAGTTTTATAACTCTCTTAAATAGTCTTTTAGTGTTAATAGAAAAATATACCAGATTTTATTATTGTTTCTTTAAGAACTTAACATCAATTTAAATATGAATTTCAAGGAAAATAACTGAGAATTCAAATTATCCAATAATTTGAATTAATTATGTTTACATAATGTTATGACTAAGAAGTCATAAAATGTTAAAAATAAAAATGATTCATTCTGCTTTTTCCTGAATAAAACAGGATAAGCAATAATATGTATATATAAAGCTGACAATGAATTAATAAAAAAAAATCTATTCTGATTAGCAAAACAGAAATGAGAATTATAAAAATTATTATAATCGTGATTAAATATTAAGTGTTGTAAAATAGAATTTGCACTGATTAATAAAATGATATATATTTCATAATACATCGTCTAAAATTACAAATTTAACAGCATAAAATGAAACAAAAGATTTTGCAAAAAGTCTAAAAAATATAAATTTTAAAATGTCTGGTGTGCCATTTCAGCAGTAATAGTTGGGTTTTGGGCTATATGTAACCTTTTTTTTTTTTTTATTTTTGTATAAAGTGTTGGCAACCCTTTAGAGCAAGACTGCCCAATTCATTTTGGAGGTGGGCTATAATTTCAATTACATGTCAGCCATCAGGCCACCTAGTGAATCATACTTGCTTACATTCATGATTCTTCTATAAATGGCTAGGTATTTGAATCAAACAAAGCTTTAAGTTGCACATGTTTTAATAATACCTAATAAAAAATACATTAATGAGACCTATGAAGGGGCTTATTAGCTAATAATTTTTCATAATAATAATAAAAATAAAGACACTGAGTTCAGCGTTACATGCATACGTTTTTTGTCGCAAGCACTTTTGACGAACTTATAGTCGTCGTCCTCAGGCAAATACAAATATTTTCCGAAAAAATTTAAACAGAAAAATTCGAAAAACAGTTTTCGAATTATATTTGAATATTTACTTCGTGTTCTAAACGGCTTTGACAAAGTTTCAACTTGCATTTTATGCGTTCTATTCTACATCAGATTATTTCTGTTTAAATTTTTTCGGAAAATATTTGTATTTGCCTGAGGACGATGACTATAAGTTCGTCGAAAGTGCTTGCGACAAAAAACGTATGCATGTAACGCTGAACTCAGTGTCTTTATTTTTATTATTATTATACATTAATTTGGCGTGATAATCATCCTATTGATTAATAATTTTTCAATATTTGGTGACAACAATTTAATTTTAATACACAAAAGTTGACTCAAAACTAATAGAACAANAAACGTATGCATGTAACGCTGAACTCAGTGTCTTTATTTTTATTATTATTATACATTAATTTGGCGTGATAATCATCCTATTGATTAATAATTTTTCAATATTTGGTGACAACAATTTAATTTTAATACACAAAAGTTGACTCAAAACTAATAGAACAAGTGTAATAAATGTGTAGGTTAGGTATTAATAGTGGTGTGGTGGTGACTCAAGTCATAGTTCATTCTGCGTTTGACCAATCAACCAATCACATGGTGGTTGGCATTATTGATAGCACAATATCATGCATGGTGACAGCCGACTGCTACTGTGGGCAGGCAAATTCAAATGTGTTGACGGACCACTTTGTGATCTGCAGGCCTGGGTTTGGGCAGCCTTGCTTTAGAGGGAGTGAATGTGTATCTAAAGGATTGTGGATTGGCTGCAGGGGCTTTTTTTTGTTTCGTCTTGGTGTGTCCAGGTGTCCAAAGAACTGTGTGGTGAAGTAAAATCGGTCAGGCAGGTAATATCTGCCTAGTATCAAGTAATCAGTTTTCATCGGCAGAAATTCCAACCAGAAGATTAGAACATTTGTTGGGTTCCCATCAACTGTTGGGAAGGAACCTTAAACAAGAATTAGTTTCTGTGTGAGATGCACGTAGCTTGGTTGGCCAAAAAATTGGTATTGTATAAAAACTCATTGTATATGTTTCCTATGGATTAGTTTGTAAATTTTTGTATGTTGATGTTATATCTGTACATAAACTTAATGTTAAGTGGCTTCCTTTTGTATTCATTCCAATGTGGTGACCTTTCACATCTCTCACATTTAACAATTATCTCAATACATATTGTGAATCCCACATTGGATAATTGGAAATTCCTTTTTCGTTTACTTATGCCACAATAAAACAGAGGAGATTATAAAATAGTAAATATCTTTTATATTGATTCATTTCATAATTTTGTAAACCATTTGAATAAAATTAAAATCAAATAAATAATTCATTTCCAAATTAAAGCAATTATAACATATTAATGTAAAAAGCATCATAATGATTTTTCATATAATTTCATACAGGTTTCTCAAATGTGCCACAAGAGATTGTGCAAAGAAGCTTGTAGACAAAGTATTGGAGGTAAGTGTTTATTATACTGGTTATAGGATGTGTAGTAACTCTGATATATCAGGGTATACAGAGTATGTTGATAGGGTAATAAGACAAGGACTTAACAATTTACCTGACAAATAAAACAAAGCAAAATTGTTTAATTTAGCAACAGTAGGATGTAGTTGGTTTTGTTACATATGTTGTAGGGACTGAGTAGTACGGTCACAAAAACCAAAGAGAGAACAACAAACAAATACTTCCATGCAACAACAAGATTTCGCATTCTAATTAATTACAAATATTTTACACAGTTGTATATACACACACTCTTGCCTTCCTTCTCATGACTTTACATGAATAATCATTCTAATTGAAGTCACTGAAGCCCTCTGATTACGAGTGCAATAAAACACATATCTACTAATTTCTATTAATTAAAAATATAAGTCTCACTAATGTCCTTGGGAAATTCTCAATGTTCATATTCTTTGCTGCTATCCAACAATTTCGTGAAGATGAATACAGTCCATCATTCATTGGACTGTATTCATCTAATACAGTCCAATGTATTAGACTGTATTAGACTGTAATACAGTACAATGAGTGATTGCCTCAGTCCAGCAGAAACGTTCTTTTGTTAATGATGGTCTCGATGAACATCCATGTCGATGATTTTAAGTTCAACTCTCTCCTTAACAGTCCAGAAGGGAAACAGGAAGAAAAAAAAAAGTGATCCACAGGTGAAAACACCTAAATTTATAACTCCTGCCATCCGGAAGCATGTTTTCCGCATGTGATGCACTTCCTGACCAATCAGCAGGTTCCAATAGTTTCACCACAGAAAAGGTGACATCAGATCACAAAAAGGAAAAATAACGCAAAGTTCCATACAAATTTTAAAACCTGACACAAAGTAAAGGAAAAACACTTATATAACCAAATAAAAATACAGAAAAATTCAAAATTTATATAACCCATAGTAGCATAGCACTACAGATGCATAATTTCTAGTCTGCAATACTGGTAAGGAAAATTAATTATACAAAATATATATGCATGGATAAACCTTCAACTATTTTGGGTCCAGCTGCATAGTTCTGTAACTAACCAGTATGCTGTAAAGATTGAACTTGGTTTTAATACTTGATATGAAGATGATAGCAAGAACATGACACCTTATCCATTTTTTATTACTATTTTCAGTTTTATTTACTATAAATAAACTTAAACACAACAATACAGTAGAGAATCGATTATCTGAATACTGATCAACTGAAACATTGGTTAACCTGTGATGTTCGTTGCGACAAGTATGTAATCCCACGAGCGGAATGATACAAATAAAATACACGTTATAATTTTCAACACAAAGTAATTTATTTTCACTTCAAACAGGTTCTTAATTCTTGAATCCCAATGTACAAAGATATGGGTTATGTGCACAGACGTCGGATTTCTATCTATCAAACTATGGGTTTATGGGTTCTTTACAAAATTTATCACGTATTACTGGTAGTACATCCCAAATTGTGAGCGCATCCCCGGATGCGCATGTCAAAAATGACCGTCAACATTGTGATAGTAGTGAATGTATGTGTACGTACGTCTTCCTCCACCTAATTTTAGGAATAATTGCTCAAGTGATTTGGCAATTAGTTGTTTAATTCTCGGGTCAACTGAATGCAACAATTATACGTGGGGCGACTTATACTAGTACTTATGCTACTTATAACCAAAGAAGAAAGAAAAATATAGATAATTAAGGACAGGAATAGGGAAAGATGAAAGTACCTGGGTGTTCTTGGTCTCATGATCTTGAGTCGGTTCATTGTTCTGGAGTCTTCCTCGAACCATTAACTTTCGTCCTTTTAATATACCTTTGGTGTGATACTTTTAATGTCTTCTTTCAAAGTCCTCTCATAAGAAGTTTTCACTGTTGATTCCTATGGCTCCTCGTAGCCTCCAATTGTCTAGCTTTTGATCTGGAGCACTACCTTCTTTCTGTCCATTTACTTCAGAACTTGAGCCCAAAATTGCTTCTCCCCTCATTTTCTTGGCCCCAGGGCCTTACTTCTTCCTTTGTTCTACTACTTGTTGCTTGGAATTGGTAATTCCACCCAAGGGAAAAGGGTTGAAAAGGAAAGTTCTAGAAAAAGTGAATACAAAGGAACAGAGAAATGACTAAGAGTAACAAAATATACAATATTATGGCTGACGGCCACAAACCAAAATCAATCCAATTGGCAAATTCAAATTTCTGCTAGTGCTGTGGTGCTACAATATTTGGCTGTCTTGGGCTACTCCAATATTATTTTTGTTGGTGTGCATGTTTTAGCTGGCAGCACTGGCATGACCATATTTTATCGTTAAATATTATTTCTTTATTTTGCACAAACAAAATAAATATATTGAAAAATATAAAAACAAAAAAATTATATTTCTGAACTTAATCTAGTATCAAAAACGTTACGATTCAGCACAACACATGTCGAGAGGGTACTTAAGGATGCACCAGTATTTGAATGAGGCTTTTTTCTCCATCGTGAGTGATGTGTTTTGCTTCAGCTCATCGGAGAATATAGCCCAATTGACTGACATTTCCAGATAAACCCAAGAAAAAGATTGTGTGGTAATTTTTGAGGACTGTGTGTTGGGATGTGTGTCATGCTGAATCGAAATGTTTTTGATACTAGATTAACTTCTGAAATATAATTTTTTTGCTTTTATATTTTTCAATATATTTATTTTGTTTGTGCAAAATAAAAATAATTTTTAACAATACAATAGCCATGATTATTATTTTAAAAAATTTTCGTTAGACTTAACATTGATGAAAATTCAACGCAAAGCGACACGCAATGGAGAAAAATTTCAACATAGGATAGGTTAATATATTTTTTTTCATACATGATCAGTTATCTGAACAACCCCAGTCCCGACTTCTTTTGGATAATTGATGCTCTACTGTAATACAAAAATGGTAATACTTTGCATGATACATTTTATTTCATCTATTTAATACTTTATGTATTAAATAGATGAAATAAAATGTATCATGCAAAGTGAGAATATCGCAGAACTGAAATGATGCATCATATAACCAATACACTGTACACTTGCCCTTGATGTTTTGTCTGTAAACTAATCTGCACAATCTCTTTTTAAAAAATCATATATGAAATACAGATACATATTACTTAAAATCTTGATACAATATTTTAATAATTTATTGATTTAAGTTTTATTTGAGTGAAAATGTTACCTGTTTCTCGAACAAAAGTATAGCATTTCTCATCTTTTTGCCAACCACAATGATATTCTGTATGGCAAGCGTGGCAATTATGTAATTTATCACAGTTACTACTTTGAGCTTCTTCACACTGCTCAGCAGTCCTTATTTTCTAGATGAAATAAATGAAACATAAATTGAATATTTAATACAGTTAAGGTAATAATTTACAAGAATATACACAATGATTGTTATACAAATATACAACTGAATCTCAAAAGATCATTTTCTTGAGCAGTTTTAAAACACAGAAAAAATTAACTAAAATATTATGATTAGAAAGTGTAGATTATAACTTAAATTTTCACAATCAAACTGTTTTAGTATTTTCCACCATAAAATTATTCTCTGGCACATCTTAATGCAAAATAAAAAAGTTTCACAAAAATTGCATCATAAAATATTTTCTCAAAAGTAATAAATTACTTTGCCTTGACATTTATATACAAATTATCAGCTTTTAAAATTAATTTAGGTTAATACAAGTTCACGATTGTTTTTCAGCAATTCTTTTAATTCAAAAAAGAATTACAAGAAGGCACTTAACATTTCTGTAACTCATTTATCAAATAACCACAAATGATATTGCAAATGACAAGCATTCACTTAGATTATCTATATTGCAGTTGTTGCCATCCTTCTATTCAGCACAATTTTTAGCTTATTTTACTTATATTTAACCTTGATTATGGTTCCTAAAAAATTGCAAGCATCTGTGATATTAAGCATAAGTTCATACTTAATGTATATATTAAGTCAAATTTCTAAAAGCCTATAATGTAAATTTCAAAAAAAAAAAAAAAAATATTATAGATAAGTTCAATTGGAACCCAACAAAATCAAGGACAATTCCTTAAGGTCAGACTATACATTTGTTCGATATGCAAGACCTCTCCATCACATATATAAGGAAATTAGTAAAGCCACTGAACAAAAAATCCTATACAAAAGGAATCCAATAATCTACTAGCTTTTATGTAATGATAAGGATCCCCACAACGCTAGCAATGTTCTGAAGTATAACTATTCCTCTTAAAGATGAGAAATTGCACATGATCTTCAGTACATAGTGGCCACTTCAAGATTTTTAGAAGCAGGACTGAAGAAGCATAAGTATGACATTCAAAAGTCCAAACTAGTTATGACCCTTGCAGCCTATGCTCTTTCTGACTCTGTTGATGTGGGCTGGCAACAAGCTATAATCATTAAGGCATTAGAAATATGCATCATATATACAGTCAACCCCCTATAACACTGTTGATTATTCTGTTTTATATGAATTGGAATTCATATAAAACAGAATAATCAACAGTGTTATAGGGGGTTGACTGTATATATGATACATATTTCTAATATTCGAGTCACTTAGATTTTACAAATACACAAGCCGTTCACAGCCCGGCATACGTATTTGTAAAATCTAAGTAACTCTTACAACATGGAATTCATATAAAACAGAATAACCAACAGTGTTATAGGGGGGTTGACTGTAGAAACAAGTTGAATCTTTGATGGAAATGTAGGATTTGTAAAAAGTCATCTAAATGCTACTTCTGTAACAAATATCAGTCAAAATATTTCTTTGTCTCCATTCATCTGAAGGCTTACGTGCCAAAACGTGATAAATTTTGAATAAATGGTTCTAATGCTATTTCTGATGTCTTTTGGTAAGATGAATATATAGAAAACCATTCATTTGGATATTCTTCATAATTTGTTAACTAAAAAAAATTCATCAACCATTTAGATGTATACTTTACTATATAACCAGAAATACACATTGTTGTATTTCTCATTATATAGTGTGTGCATTTACCAAGTGACCAACAGCCAGGAGTCTATTTGGAAATGCTTATCAATTGGTTGATTTGTAGCAGCATATGATGTGTCAACAGTAGTTGGTAGGTCATTCTCTAACCTACCCTTAAAGATTGGTGTGCATGATAGCAATCAGCAAATCACCAGAAACATTATAGGTGTTTTTGAATGATGTCTGGTCTCAATGGTTGAACAAATGTGCATTTCTGGAAGACCCTAAGTAAGCAAACCAATGACATAATCTGTATCATATGAAACCAACTATATCATTAGCTTACTTATCTGCTAGTCACCTAGATGAAACCAGAGCATCTAAGCTCATTCGTCTTCAAACTCTACTGCAAAGCATCACCACTGTGTGCTTTGCAGGAAATTTTTAAATAATCTTTGTTACGTATAGTCTAATACTCTATTTACAAATAATAAACATGTTTTAATTTTTAAAGAAATAATGCTAACCATGTAAAATTTTATATTTCCTTTATTTACAGTTTGTTCAAATGTTCAATAATCCACTAAACAAATCTCTAATTTTAATAATCTTTATTATTATGTAATACCAAACAATCTGCTTTATTTTTAGTTATTTTTGACTATAGGTAAGCAGATATGCTTCCAGTTTGTTTTAATTTTAATAATGTAATAAATTAATTTTGAATTTAGAAATTTCTCAAAGAAAATAATTAGGCCTCAGCAGGACTCCAACCTGCTCTGGCCATAAGTAATTCAATCCAGTTATGAGCTGTTATCTTAATTATCATGACTGAACTAACACAAAAAAACTAAAAACAACTAATTAACAAAACCAATGGTAAAAAAATCTTTGATAAATGTTTTTGCTCTTTATTACAACTAGCTTTGACTACATTAAAAATAATGCAGATTTATTTAATAATTTTAAGTAACTAAAATCAATAATATTGCATGGTAATGATTAATAATTTTAACAGTTACTAATAATTAACAGTTAAAAATACCTTCATTCCTGTATTGCATTTTCCATGATAGCATGACATTCCACACCAAACACAATTGTAAGTATTCTCAATACAACTTGGACATAACGTTTGCCGTCCACAGAGATATGTAACATTTACTAATATTAAAAATATAAACACTCATAATTAGATACAAAAACTGTGCTAAATACAGAAAAAAGATTGCCAATACAATCCAATACCAATATAAATAACCTCAGCTAGATATAAATACCAATAAACCAGCAAAAATAAAAGAAATAAACTGAAAACAAACACTTTTTCTTTCATTTTAAACTGTCATCATCCTCAGGTTCAAAGAATGCAGATATAAACAAATCAATTCATTTATATCTACAGTCTTGAACCTGAAGATAACCATTTCAAATGGATTCCTCAGTAAAAATAAAAGCCATTCTCCGTAATCTAGTTTTCAGTAAAAATAAAAACCATTCAAGTATCCAGCATAATTCTTTAGTAACATAAAAACGTTTTCAAACTCATTAAGCGTTCATCATCAGTTATTTCTCTAATTCGAAATGGGAAATTCGAAAAATTACACGAACAAATTTCAAATAAACGGTTATGTAAAAAATTAAAAGGTAACATTTTATAAATGAAAGTGATACATACAAATTTCTGTGTGTTTAATAAATAATAATAAATAAATAAAATAAAATATCTATCAAGGATCATCCTAAGCTTGATTAAGCCTTTTATATAGAACTATGCCAATTCATCACAAAAAGATTTCCAAGCAGTTGAAAGCCCTTCGGCATCCCTATAGTTAATACACTGCATGCTCTTCTGTGCCCTGTGGATTTCCAGCATTTCGAGATATTTACCACATGTCTAGATCTGGTAGCTTTTATGATAGAGGCCTGGTCCCAGAAGACAGTACAGTCGACCCCATGGGTGTAGCGAGGGGGGAGCCTGGGTGGGCACGGCCCCTCCCAGGGTACCTGGTGCCCCCCCCAGGAAATCACAGCCGAAAAAGTGTTGAGTCGATTTGTAAACACCTAAAGCTAAAATAAAAGTTTTGAATACTAAAAAAAAATGAACGGCTTTTGTAGTTTTAGTATAAAATAG